TGCTTTATTTTCACACAAACAAGATATATACACAGGATGGGGAAATACAACCAGGAACAGGAAACACATCACAGGCCATCCCATCAGGAGGGAAGGGCTGCCAGAAACACCCCCACCAAACCAAGACACATAATAGAACAAAGGAATACACCACTTGGCAGTAGACAATAGGGGAACACATGCATCCCATAATAGTTTGCTAGAACAATGAGAAGCAGCCACTTGGCAGAGAACAATGAACAACCCCCACACCAATATTAGAACATTTCACCCTGTCCCCTAACAGGCACAGGGTGACTTAAACATAAGAGGAATTTGGGGAAGATGATACATGGGTCCCCCCCACCCCCAAAAGTCACTCCCATCACAGGTGGGCTTTAGAAAACTGTTTACCAACCTCCTCTATAGTAGCTGGGTTAAACAAGGGAAGTATTGACAAGGAGTGTAGGGTGAGGGGGATATCTGCACAGTGGAGATCTTGTCATGAATTGTATCAACCTTATTTTTGAAGCGATTAGCGATCTCCTGGGCAGTGAGTGAGTTAGTGGGTGGAGGTAATTAAGGATGAAGTAGAGAGTTAAAGGTAGAAAAGAGCTGAAGGGATTACATGAGAGGGTGTTAATGAGAGTGATAAAATATGTCTGTTTGGCAGTGGGGAGACAAGAATTGTATTTTTGGGCAAAGGCAGATTTATATTGGTCGAGGTCTTGCGCCATAAACGCTCAAAAGCATCTCCTAAATTGTAAGCTCAGGGCCCTCAGCCCCCACAGCTATTACCTTTTGTATCACTCGACCCTTCCTCCTAGATTGTAAGCTCAGGGCCCTCAGCCCCCACAGCTATTACCTTTTGTATCACTCGACCCTTCCTCCTAGATTGTAAGCTCAGGGCCCTCAGCCCCCACAGCTATTACCTTTTGTATCACTCGACCCTTCCTCTTAGATTGTAAGCTCAGGTAAGCCCCTCAGCCCCCACAGCTATTACCTTTTGTATCACTCGACCCTTCCTCTTAGATTGTAAGCTCAGGGCCTCAGCCCCCACAGCTATTACCTTTTGTATCACTCGACCCTTCCTCCTAGATTGTAAGCTCGGGGCCCTCAGCCCCCACAGCTATTACCTTTTGTATCACTCGACCCTTCCTCCTAGATTGTAAGCTCAGGGCCCTCACCCCCACAGTCAGCCCCCACAGCTATTACCTTTTGTATCACTCGACCCTTCCTCCTAGATTGTAAGCTCAGGGCCCTCAGCCCCCACAGCTATTACCTTTTGTATCACTCGACCCTTCCTCTTTTGTAGATTGTAAGCTCGGGGCCCTCAGCCCCCACAGCTATTACCTTTTGTATCACTCGACCCTTCCTCTTAGATTGTAAGCTCGGGGCCCTCAGCCCCCACAGCTATTACCTTTTGTATCACTCGACCCTTCCTCCTAGATTGTAAGATCAGGGCCCTCAGCCCCCACAGCTATTACCTTTTGTATCACTCGACCCTTCCTCCTAGATTGTAAGCTCAGGGCCCTCAGGGCCCTCAGCCCCCACAGCTATTACCTTTTGTATCACTCGACCCTTCCTCTTAGATTGTAAGCTCAGGGCTCTCAGCCCCCACAGCTCCCACAGCTCCCACAGCTATTACCTTTTGTATCACTCGACCCTTCCTCTTAGATTGTAAGCTCAGGGCCCTCAGCCCCCACAGCTATTACCTTTTGTATCACTCAACCCTTCCTCCTAGATTGTAAGCTCAGGGCCCTCAGCCTCCACAGCTATTACCTTTTGTATCACTCGACCCTTCCACTTAAATTGTAAGCTCAGGGCCCCCAGCCCCCACAGATGATACCTTTTGTATCACTCAACCCTTTCTCTTAGATTGTAAGCTCAGGGCCCTCAGCTATTACCTTTTGTATCACTCAACCCTTACCCTTAGATTGTAAGCTCAGGGCTCTCAGCCCCCACAGTTATCACTCAACCCTTCCTCCTAGATTGTAAGCTCTAACGAGCAGGGCCCTCTGCTTCCTCTTGTACCAAATTGTATTGTAGCTGCTATATCTGCCCTCATTTTGTAAACTGCTGGCGCTATATAAATCCTGCATAATATGTGTGTAAAAATATAGTGACACCTAATGAGAGTGTTGAGTATTGCAGCCAATCATCCCAATATGCAGTTTAGTACCTCCCCAGAATGGGGCGAGAAATGTATTTGAAAAAGGCATGAGCATATTTTGAGTCAAAGTGTGAAGAAGCCCTAACACCGCCTCTACACACAGCCTTTACAATGACTATACTTTCACTCCCAAGGTTCGACCACTGTCCTCATTTCTACCCTTAAATAAACGTTTTCAAAAGATGCAAGAAACAAAACCCCACTCACCACACAGCACGCGCATGCGTCAAAAGTTCCAGCCGGCGCGAACTGATGACGGAACTCGGCAGCGAGAACGAAGGCTAGGAAGGCAGGAGAACGGCGCCTGCGCGGTAGGGCTGCTGTATTGTTTGCTGCAGACGTGAGCTTTGGAGGCGCATGCGCGGTTCTGCATGGTGAGTTCCTAGATTGTAGCCGGTGATCGGTGTTTAGTGTTGCAGTCCGGAAGGGAGATGACCTGCAGAGCTGACATGGCACGCCGGGGAGCACCAAGGCAGTGTAGTCTGTATGTGGTCAGTGATTGTGTCCTCTGACATTAGACAGGCGGTGTTACCAGGCTCAGCACTGTCCTGTGATGAGGATTAGATCAGTATTAACCCTGCAGAGCTGGGCCCTTCTCTCCTGGGGTGACAGATGTCACACAGCTCAGCTGTTCCTTGTTTACACTGGGGACACATACAGGCCTCCCCAGCCTATCATGTCCTTCAGTCATGGAAGGCTCAGTGAGAATGATGTGTCAAACACCCTATTCTGTCATCTCCTTGTCTGACTCCTCCTTATTTATTGCTAAGGTTTACCTAAAGCCTCAACATTTGGTTGTTGATGTTGTTTTGGATGGAGTGGTGAGGGATTAGAACCTCTGTCAGGGTTTAACCTCTTCCTGCCCAGCCCCGGCATACCTTTTAAAAGAGAAGTATGGCTACATTGTACACTTACCAGGTGGCATCACTAAGCCCCTTCACGCTCCTGAGAATCTCAATGGTATTGTCAGGTTCCACCCGAATGCCTGGTCAGTAGCTGGCTCGGCCTACCATTAAAAGTCTGAGCAAACCTCCTGTCCCCTCCCCAGCCCAGAGATCCAGTGGGTGCTGGAGGGACAGAGCAGTGACTGACAGTCGCTGGTCTCTGCTAGTGCTGACTGAAAGCTGAGCGATCAGTGGTCATGTGATCCTTCAGTTCTCAGACTTAGAGTCCACATGGAGGCGAGTGTGAAGGTTATTATTTTATTTTAACAACCCCAAACGTCTTCTTTAACAGGGTCTTCATATCAGGGGCAGGAAGGATCAGCTGATCATGCAACTAACTGTCTTGGTGGTCACATGATCAAGAGGTGGTCCAACCAGCTACTGATCTTTAGCAGAGATTTGGTCACTGTGCTGGGAGTGCAGAGTGAGCACACTCTCAGCACAGAAAACTCTGCACATATACTATTATATTATTATTATTATTATACATTATATAGCGCCAAAAGGTTTGCTCAGCACTGTACATTATAGTGGGGGACAGTACATGAGACAATACAGTACAATACACAAGGGTTTCGAGGGCCCTGCTCTTTCGAGCTTACAATCTAGGAGGGAGGGGATAGTGGTACAGGAGGAAGTGGCTGTGGGGGATGGAGTGGAGGAGATTGGCTGTTAGGTGAGAGTGGGGTAGGCTTCCCTGAAGAGATGGGTTTATATTGCCAAAAGTATTGGGACACCCCTCCAAATCATTGGATTCAGGTGTTCCAATCATCTCCATGGCCGCAGATGTATAAAATCAAGCACCTAGGTATGCAGACTGCTTCTACAAACATTTGTGAAAGAATGGCTCGCTGTCAGGAGCTCAGTGAATTCAAGCGTGGTACCGTAATAGGTTTCACCTGTGCAATAATCCATCCATGAAATTTCCTTGCTACTAATATTCCACAGTCAGCTGTTAGTAGTATTGTAACAATGTGGAAGCAACTGGGAACAACAGCAACTCAGCCACAAAGTGGTAGGCCACGTAAAATGACAGAACAGAGTCAGCGCATGTTGAAGCATGCCACCACTGGACTCTAGAGCAGCGTAGACGTGTTCTCTGGAGTGAAAAATCACAATTCTCTGTCTGGCTATCCGATGGAAACGTGTCTGGGTTGGGCGGTTGCTAGGAGAATGGTACTTGCCTGATTGCGTTGTGCCAAGTGTAAAGTTTGGTGGAGGGGGGATTATGGTATGGGGTTTTTTTTTTCAGGGGTTGGTTTGGCCCCTTAGTTCTAGTGAAGGGAACTAGACATTTTGGACAATTTCTTGCTCCCAACTTTGTGGGAACAGTTTGGGGATGGCCCTTTCCTGTTCCAACATGACTGCTCACCAGTGCACAAAGCAAGGTCCATAAAGACATGGATGAGCGAGTTTGGGGTGGAGGAACTTGACTGGCCTGCACAGAGTCCTGAGTCCTGCCTCAACCTGATACAACACCTTTGGGATGAATTAGAGTGGAGAATGCGGGCCAGGTCTTCTCATCCAACATTAGTGCCTGATGTCACAAATGCTCTTCTGGAAGAATGGTCAAACATTCCCATAGACACACTCCTAAACCTTGTGGACAGCCTTCCCAGAAGAGTTGAAGCTGTTATAGCTGCAAAGAGTGGGCTAACGCAATATGATATTGAATCCTACAGACTATGACTGGGATGCCATTCAAGTGTTACTAACCGACATCAGTAAAATCAGTCTGTATAATTAGTAAAGCATGCTTGTTATACTCCCTTTGGAAATATAGGGGTTAATCCTCTGCATTGTGTAAAAAGGCTGTTTGATCCTGACCTCTCTGATCCTTCCCTTTTTCAAGAGTCCCCCTCTTGTCTCCTGATAACACATATTGTGTGGAGGCACTCTGCACGTGCTCGGTTTGGTGTGTATTGCTAGAGAGATGTTTTTTTTTTTTTTGTTCTTGGGAGAGTGCATGTGATTAGCACAGGGCCAATGAGCACTGTCCAGACAGAGGTAAGGGGTTCTGCATCCTTCTAGAGCAAAATGAAAACTCCTCCTAAAAGTTTTAACCACAAGACTGCTCTAACTGCTGATGAGAAAAGGTATTTAGAAGTTTATATCTACTAAAATAATTGCATTTCCATGTTCTGTGTACTGTGGGAGACCTGATATAGTGAATGCAGGGTCCTGGGTTTAGTAACACTTTAAAGTTCATGTGCGTGTAAAGCTAGGCACCCCAATACTTTTGGCAAAATAGTATATGTGCAGCGCGTAGGCTTTAAAGCCCACCCTCTTTGCCACTGAATATTTGCGTTACCTGGGTGGCAAGAAATCAAAGTCTCGCTTCAATTTGTATTACTGTGTCCTGTTCTCCAGGGGACAAAGTACATGTACTACTTTCTCTCATCTTCCTATGCACTGCCTAAAGTCTTCTTTAGATCTACCATCAACTACATAGTGCATGGGCCTGCCTCACTGTATGCTAGTTGAATGGATTGTTGAGGTCTGACCACAAATTACATAGTTTTGGAAAATTTAAATGAGATTGTATCACCAGCTTAAAGCAGAAGTTTGGGGTTTATATGCAAAAGAAACATGCATGCTCACTTCAGTGCTGCAACATTGGTGTGATGCTGCAGCTGTCCCATGTGGGCTCCAAGACTGAGAACTGAGTAATCACATGACCGCTGCTCGCTCAGTCCGCTTGGAGTGGGGAGCAGTGACTGTCAGACACTGCTCTCCGCTTTGCTGTCGGCAAACTTTGGATCACAGGAGAGCAAAAGTGTAAATGCACTCCTGTGACCCACAAGAGAAGTATGCCTAAAAAAGCTTTGGCCATACTTCTCTTCTAAGTCTAGCTGTGGGGTCAGGTGGGGCACCGCTCCACTGCTGTCTAACAACACAGTTAGCAAAGAGATGACTTCTTTGACTGACGGTGCTTTTCTCTGTCTTCAAGCACATTTTAGCTGAAAAGTCTCCTCTAGAGATGATTGTCTCAGGCAAGTGCTTAGAGATGGAGAAAAGTGCTGTTTGTCAGAGCAGTAATTTCTTTGCTGTGTTGTTGGACAGCTGTGGGGGGCACATTGCTTGACCTTAAGGCTAAGAAGGAGACAACTGCTTTGATACATGGCAGTTTCCTCCACCAGCTCACGAGGAATATCAGCTGAAATGCTCCAGGCAAGCGCTCGAAGGCTGAGCAAAGTGTTGGGTGTCATCTTGCTAGCTGCATTGTAGGACGGCTGTGGGGAGAGGAGGGGTGCCCTGTCTGACTTCCCAGTTGGCCGGAAGACTGCTTTAACACACAACACTTTTCTGAGTCTCCAAGTACTTGCTTGAGACAAACACCTCACAAGGAATGCAGGTGGCGGAGGGCATATCAGCTAAAATGATTCATGCACATGGTTGGAGATGGGGAAAAAAAGCACAGTGTGTCAAAGCAGTCTCCTTGCTAGCTATGTTTTCGGACACCAGTAGAGAGATGGGTGCCCTGCACAGCCTCCCAGCTAGCCTAAAGCTGGCCATAAATGGGTCCTTTTTTTTTTTTTTCCAGCCAGCGGGTTGAATGAAAAAACTTGACCCAATGGGGGTATGGATGGGGGAGTCACTCCTGTTGAGTTATTTATTGTATTTTGATGGCAGGGAGACTTCCCTGCCATCAGAACATACTGATCAGGTCTGCCTGTTACAGTGGCATTTTTCAGACAGTGGTTATACAGAAGTTCAGACAGTGATTGTACAGAAGTTAATGCATTGGCATGCATTTCCTTTTTACGTATGTTGATAAACATTTTCAATGCATTTTTAATCTGGAATTTTGAGAAGATAGTTAATAATCATTGTCCAAGGCTTGGTCATACCTCATAAAAGACGTACTTTTCAAAACACACTGCACTGCAGAGCTTAGATTGGAACCAGCAGTATTTTTATTCTGGAGAAGTGGGACACGTGTTTTAACGCATGTTTTTCTACACGTTAAAACACAACAGTGCTAATGAGCCCTTAGAGTTTTTGTTCATTCTGAAAATGTTAGTTGTCATATGTGGCTTTAGCACTTGAGTCACAGACCCGGATCAAGCATACAGCAAACAAGGTAGACAAGTCAGAATTCCTCTTTTAGCTCTTACTCCAGGTCAGTGACTCAGTTATTAAGACAAAGGATCACTAGGCTGACTAGGCTTTGAGATGGAAGTGAGTAGTGACAACCTGCTTATTTCTCTTTTGACATGTCAGTGACATGAAACAAGTGTGAAGTTGAGAATCCTTACCTGCCTACTTGTTCTGGGTCACTGACACATTGGGGTTGATTTACTAAAACTGGAGAGTGCAGAATCTGGTGCAGTTCTGCATAGAAACCAATCAGCTTTCGGATTTGTTTTCCAAAATGTAATTGAACAAGCTGAAGTTAGAAGCTGATTGGCTGCCATGTACAGCAGCACCAGCTTTTGCACTGTCCAGTTTTAGTAAATCAACCCCATACAGTCTTAGGCCTCATGCACATGGTGCGGAGTAAAAACCCATGGACATGTTCTCCGCTGATCATCTCAGCACACAGATGGTCAGTGTATGAAGGAGCGATGTCAGCCCTTCACTGGCGATCTGTGTGAAAGTTCTCCCTCCAGATTCTCCAGCCCAGAGCTGGAGAATCGGAGGAACCACAAGCGAAGCAGGGGTAATTTACCGCTGCTTAGTAAATGGTGTTTGACTGATCTCTTACTGTAATCTCGCAAGATTACAGTAACAGCAGCCGTTTTCCAGCGTTTGTAGATCGTTCTCCCTTCATTCGGAGAACTGAGCTACACCGCTTCATAAAAAGGCATTCACAGGAGAACTGTGTTCTTTGAGAATGCCGGAGAACTGCGCAGCGGTCATATACCGCTGCATGATAAAAGGACACCAAAGTGAACTGACACTTCTACACCCTTCCCATGCCTCTGGCCCCTGCTGCACTTACCTCTGTAGATGATTCCTTTTCACTATCTACACAGCCCGGTGCAGCAGTCCTGGGGTTTGAAAACTGTGCTGTTCTTTACATAGGGACGTTGGGAGACTCAGAGCAGTTCTGATTGGTCAACGCCCTCACATGCCAGTGCTGATCAATCAGAACTTCTCTGATCTGTCCTTGTGATTTGCTTTTTTCCTTTATAATACCCAGTACTGCCAAAAGAAAGCACAAATGATCACGCTGCAGAAGGGGTATTGCAGACTAGTACTGAAGTGGTTAATAAATATTTTACTGGATTTAACACTTCTCCAAGCTGTACAAAACTAAAATTAAACATTTTGGCTTTAGATATGCTTTAAATGATGCCTCTAATTTATCATTGAATATTATATTAATTTGTTTTAAATAATAGTAGGTACAGTTACCAAAATCAGCCTTATATGGAAAAGCATTGACTTTGAATAAGATTAAATATTAGCTCAGGTTGCAGAAAGTAAACATTCGTGTCATATGTGCTTTGGACTGCAGTGTTATGTGAATCAGTCCAACCTCAAATACTTTGTGTATGTGCTGTTGTGTCATCTTTAGTACAGACTGCTGCCTAAGAATGATCTGCAAAATGTTGAACTGACTTTAATAAGGATGTGTGCCAGTGTTAACTGACAGATGACCACATAATGATAATATACTAAATTATACTTTTTTTTTTTGTAATTTTTTTCATTAACCCCTTGACTAGGTATGTTTATTAATGTCCTGGTATTCAAGGAGTTAAAGCAAGCTCATAACTGCTGCAGTGATTTGGGAGTTGGAAATCTCTTTTGAGGGACTCTTAAGGTGAGCCCCCCCTTTCCTTGCCTGTGGCGCCCATTGCTGTTCCTGGGCTGTTCTGTTTCTCTAGGGATCTAAGAACAAAGGCAAATAGTGGAAACTTTGAGAAGAGATGGTCATGGAACATCAGTTCCCATTTGAAACTGAAGAACCCAGAAGCAACATGTATTTGTTAGCCTCCTTGTGATAGCAATAAAATTGTGGAAAAAAGGTGTTAAAAGGTATCACAACTTAGAGTCGGGCATGCAGGTGTGTGTAATCATAAATTGTGCCACACATGTAAGGTATTGGCACAAGCGTAAGAATGAAAGCAATAACTTTACAATAACTCTAGAGCCAGAATTAAATGACTAAACCCAGGACTCTGCATTCACTATATCTGGTCTCCCACAGTACACACAACATGGAAGTGCAATTATTTTAGTAAATATAAATGGCTAAATACCTTTTCTCATCAACAGTTAGAGCAGTCTTGTGACTTCTATCAGTGTTCAGCCGAGCACTGGTTAAAGTAGAAGTACAGCTAAAGCTCTGTGGCTCAGTCATCGCTCAGCCAGTCCAGGCTGGGGAAAGATCCTGACTTTAAAGTTGGAATCCACCACAAAGTCTGGAGCAGCACCTGGCTCAGCCACTCAACTATCCACTGAGACTCCCTCCTCCTCAACAGCCAAGTGCTCCAGTGAGCACAGGGGGTGGGGACAGGGGGTGGGGACAGAGCAGACGGCGGGGACAGAGCAGACGGCGGGGACAGAGCAGACGGCGGGGACAGAGCAGAGCACAGAGCAGACGGCGGGGACAGAGCAGACGGCGGGGACAGAGCAGACAGAGCAGACGGCAGACGGCGGGGACTAGCAGACGGCGGGGACTAGCAGACGGCGGTGACTGATAAACTTAAAGCTGACGGTGAACAGATACAGCATCGGACTGATGCTGTATCCACTTAGGTAAATATAATTTGGGGGAAAAAACAAACCCCATACTTCTCGTTTAATCTCGTTGGAGGAGTTTTCATTCTCCTCTGACTGTCCTATGAGGCTGCATTATCCCTGACCCTCTGTCTGATTGGCCCTGTGCTAATCATATGCACCCTTCAAAAAAAGAGAACTCTCTAACAATCAACACCAAACTGTGCATGTGCAGAGAGCCTCTTAGTGCTCTGTACTATCAACACATGGATTAGGGGCTGTGGAAGAAGGAGAGGATCAGAGAAGACAGGATCAAACATCCTTTTTACACAATGCAAAGGATTAACCCCCTTAAGTTCCACAGTGAGTATAACAAGCGTGTTTTACTGCATATACAGACTGATTTTACTGTTGTGGGTTTAGTAACACTTTAAGTTAACTCTAAATTAATATGCACTGATACCATTTTACAAGTGCTGATAATTTTTTTTTGGTACTCGCTGATACCAATTACTGATACCTGCTGAGGGAACCCCGCTGACAGCTGAATGAATGATCTGTTGTTAAGGATGCGGTGGCCCCGCTTCTTAACCACTTAGGTTCTCACACCTGTTCACCCCTTATGGACCAGAGCAATCCTCTGCACTGTGCAAAAAGGCAGTTTGATCCTTTCTTCTCTGTTACTCCCCTTTTTCAAGTGACCACCTCTTATCTCCTGATAAGACTGTCTGAACAGAAGGTATTTGCACATGCTTAGTTTGGTGTGTATTGCTAGAGAGGTTTTTTTTTTTTGTTTTTTTTTTTTTCTTGGGAGAGTGCATGTGATCAGCACAGGGCCAATGAGCACTGGTCAGACAGATGTCAGGGGTTTTGCATCCTCCTAGAGCAGAAAGAAAACTACAAGGTTTAGGTAGTGCTGTGCTGGACACTGATAGAAGTCACAAGACTGCTGTAACTGCTGATGAGAAAAGGTATTTAGCAGTTTATATTTACTAAAATAATTGCACTTCCATGCTCTGTGTACTGTGGGAGACCAGATAGAGTGAGTGCAGGGTCCTGGGTTTAGTAACACTTTAAGATAACAACGTAATACATATATTGTTTTTTAGGGACAAACAAGGATTTATTTTCATGAATATTGAAACAATGCGTTTTCGTGTCTTACAACAATAAATTTTGGTTACAATCCTTAGTTAAATGTAACAAAGCTAAAAAAAAAAAAAAAAAGAGGCACTTTTTTATTTTGTGCAGTGTTCGTTTAAAAATATAGTGTTACTGCACATACAAAGTGTGCATTTTATTATGTAATTTGTCCTGTTTAACCACTTTCCCTCCAGAGGATTTACCCCCCCCCCCTTCCTCACCAGGCAATTTTTTGCAATACGGTGCTGTGTTATTTTAACTGGCAATCGCGCACTCATGCAACGCTGCACCCAAATTAAATTTATGTCCTTTTTTTCCCCCGCAAATTGACCTTTCTTTCGTGGTATTTGATCACCTGTGCCTTTATTTTTTGCGCTATAAACAAAAAAAGACCTACAATTTAAAAAAAAAAAAACAAAACAATATTTTTGACTTATTGGTATTAAACATGTCCAGTAAAAAAATTTAAAAATAAAATTTTGTCATCAATTTAGGCCAAAATGTATTCTGCTACATGTCTTTGCAAAAAAAAAAATCCCAATACGTGTAAATGAATTGGTTTACGTGAAAGTTTCCAAATGGCGGTATATAATGGAATTTGTTGTTTTTTTTACTAGTAATGGTGGAGATCAGCGACTTATAGTGGGACTGCAGCGAGCATTCTGACACTGGGGGGAACTAACTTGGTGTCACTGACATCCCAGTGACACCAATACAGTGATCAGTGCTAATAAAAAGCACTGACACTGTACTAATGGCACTGGACATGAAGGGGTTAACATCTTGGGCGATCAAAGGGTAACTGTGTGCTGTTTGACTGCTTGGGCTGTGCGTGTGCTTCACTGTAAGCACACTGCTTTGTATGGCTCTGCTATTCAGAGCCATATAAAACAGTACAGGAGCTGACTGGGGAGAGATCTGTATTGCTTACATACAGGTCTCTTCCTGTTGGAGATACTCGGCGATCACCGGATGCCGGCGAGTAATCACCGGCCGGGACCCAGTGATTGACAGCCGAGGCCGCGAATGGCAGCACGGGTAGCAAGAAATTAGGTAACAAGAAATTAAAAACCCAGTGGTGAGTAAATACCACCAAAGAAAGCTCCAAAGCGGGTGCAGGGAGAGGGTAGCATGCCCCCTGTTACAATGGAGGATTGTAGGGAGGGATGTGGGCAGGTTCTTTAACAAAATGTTATCTTCCACCCTTAATATGGGTGAACTTATTCATTCAGAAATGTTTTAATTGTTTGGGGGTTTAAAGTCATTTTTAGCAAAAATGCATATTTTAGCATTGCCCTATAGACAAGTGATTAAAGAGAATTTTTAATCTTAGAAAAGCCTATGCTGTATATAAGACTTTGTAGGGATTATGGGCATCAGCATTGCTATTTATTTAAACATCTAAAGCCAAAACCTTTTGAATTTGTGTACAAAATGATTTCAGGTCTTTTTTTTTTTTTTTTTTTTTTTTTTTTGCTGTCTATGTCCACTTGGGGAGTTGAAGAGATTTCCTTTATTGCTTGCCTTGTAAACACATTGCAAGGTGAGTGAAAATCCCCTCTTAGACATATTGGTAGATTTCTTCTCTAGACTTCTCTGGTAACAACCATAACATTTTAGATTGGCAATTATTTTTTTTCTCTGTGACAGTAATCACCAGGACAAACAGAGAGGGGTAATCTCCCCAGCAGGGAAGAAAAAACAATCAAAATTCCTATCAAGGGTTTCAGTGCTTCCCCACTCTATCTGAAATGGAAAAAAAAAAGTGTTTTCGTATTTACGCAGAACAAGTACTTTATGGAATTCTGTTGAGATGTTTGCTTAATTTTTGCTTCATTAAAAATTATGTGGTTGATTTTAATTTGTCTACTAAGTGCTAAATTTCATGTTTTGATTGTATATTTTTGATCTGTAGACGCCAAATGAGCTGTTGATGATAATCTCCTGCTTAAGGACACCTACTTGAAATTCTTTTCTTGGTGCTTTGCTGCACAGCATTGTCATGGATTCAGAAACTCAGAAGAAAGCATTAGTTGCCCACACCAATGGACTAACTAAGACTTCAGCACTGCCCTCAAAACCTAAGGCATCAAAAAAGCTGATTATCAAAAATTTTAAAGGTATGTTTCTAAAAAGATTTGTGTGTCGCCACATTATGGTAGTTATATATTAATTTATAATTTAGTTATATAATTATATATGTTATCTAGTTCAATTTATTCAACCCATATTTGATGGATCGCGCTGATTAACAGAACATTTCTTCTGACTGTTGTTGGATTCCCAGCACATTCATAAACACTCTAGGGTAAGCCAGTTTACCTGGCAATATTTTTTTGGGCAGTCGGAGGTGGGGTGGGACTCGCACTCGGGACTGAGAACTGCAAGTTCAAGATTCCTAGGGCATAAAGATTCATACTGGCCATGCATGCATTGGGATGATCATTTTGGAAAAAGAATACTATAGAGAAATTGAGTACACTAAGTACTTTTCATCAAAAAGGAAAAATTAGCCTCTGAAGCAAATCTAATTGGTGTTCCAGCCAAATCACTCTTTCTTTGTTGCACTGAAAGATCATTTGAAAGCAAATGATCGTTTGGAAAATTCATATATTAAAGACTGCCCTATAGCAGATATACTGCTACAGGGTGGCCCTCGTGTGGAAAATCATGTGTATATAAACATGATTCTGCACTTCCGCCTAGGGACGTGCATGCATGCCACTGGTGGACTGCTTTGGCTGTGATTATTTACAGCAAAAACCGATCTGCAGGTGCTGGACAGTGGATGTCTGCCGGCACCCGCAGATCGTCGGGCAGAGTCCCAGAACAGAGCTCTGCCACTGTAAAAGCAGAGCTCTGTTCTGACGGGGGAAGTGATGGATCTTGAGTCCCTGCAAAGCAGGGAATAAGATCCATCACTTCCCTTAGTAGAAGCAGCACACAGTGTACAGAAAAGACATAGCTAAGCACACAGTCATCCCTTTGATTGCCCTAGATGTTTATGCCTTCCCAGCTAGTGTCATTAGTACAGTGTCAGTGCAAATTTTTAGCACTGATCACTGTGTTAGTGTCACTGGTTCCCCCAAAGTGTCAGTGTAAAAAAATGTCAGTCTCACTATGTCACTGATCGCCACCATTGCTAGTATAAAAAAAAAAATTCCAGTTTCTATCCCATAGTTTGTAGATGCTATAACTTTTGCACAAACCAATCAAAATACGCTTATTAATATTTTTTTCTTTAACAAAAATATGTATCAGAATACATATTGGCCTAAATTTTGAAGAAATTTGATTTTGAAAAATGTTTATTGGATATATTTTATAGCAGAAAACCAAAAATATTTTGGTTTTTTTTTTTTTTAAATTGTTTTTTTTTTTGTTTATAGTGCAAAAAATAAAAACTCGGTGGTCAAATACCACCAAAAGAGAGCTCTATTTTTGAGGGAAAACATTATATATATTTCATTTATGTACAGATTTGCATGACCAGTTGTCAGTTAAATTAACACAGTGCCATATCACAAGAAATGGCCTGGTCAAGAAGGGGGGTAAATTTTCCAGAGGTTAAGTGATTTTTGTCACCAAAATGTGTAATGATAACCGCACACGTATCTAAATGATCATACAGTTGATCGTTCAGTGTGAGTAAAATGATCGAATTAATAAAATAAAAAAACAAACACCCGCCATACAGTTGATCTAGTGTGCTCTTGATCAGTTTTGACTCTGCCAAGCTGATGGCGGAGTTTTGTTGATCATTTTAAAAGTATAAAAGAAATAAGCTTTGCTATAGCTTCCATTAACAAATAATGATCTATAAATAGAGGTGGACCTTTTCATTCATCTGCCCGTCCTCCATTCATAGATCGTTTTGCATTCATGAAAGCTATAGTACAGCTTCTATGAATATGGCAAATCCCTCAGCTCGAATTACCCCCACATCACCAGAAGATTACAGTTGCGGGGGTAGGGAGGGATCAGAGGATTTCAACTAAAACTGCAGCCAGAAGCACAAGGGATACTTTGCATTAATTGTGCTGCTTTTTGTGTTAAATAGTTTTTTTATCTAAACTTAGGCTTTAACTCTTTTGCTGTATCCCAGGCTATGCTTGCCCATCTGAAGATCCGGGACTGGCATAGCGGGTGCTGCCGGGTTGGTGGTAGGCAGCCGTGCAGACACACGTCCACTTTCCTCCTAATCTTGTTGCTGACTCGGAAGCAGCGTGTGGGTTAATCCTCTGGCACATGTAACACACTTCCAAGGGTGTCAGATGCTTAGTTCCCTGCTATGCTCAGTGGTTCCTCCTGCTGGCCCCTACCTCACCGCATTGTCCTGTAGCGATGCAGGGGTCAGAGGAAGAAACCAGAGCACATGGCAGGGGACACAGGCAGCCAATACTCTCAGGGGACACAGGCAGCCAATACTCTCAGGGGACACAGGCAGCCAATACTCTCAGGAGTGTCAAATGCTGAAGACTTTGCCAGGGATACAGCAATGCTCAGATTCCTCACATTCTGAAGATGTAAGGATTTAGGGTCTTCTATTTCTGGAATCATTCTTCAGAGTTTTTTGGGAAAGCACAATTAATCTTTAATTGTTTGCCTTCCTGATCCCCCGAGAGGCAATCGGATATTGCCTGGATCAACTTTACCTATAAATGTTAGTATCCAGTTATATGCTGTGTATCTAAGAAAGAATCCAGGCCTTTTTTAAAGCAATCCACTGAGCTGTCCAGAACCAACTTTTGAGGGAGTCTATTCCATATTTTCACAGCTCTTACTGTGAAGAAACCTTTCCGTGTTTTGGAGATTAAATTTCTTTTCCTCCAGACGTAAAGAGTGCCCCTTGTCCTCTGTGATGACCTCAGGGTGAATAACTCTACACCGAGTTCACTATATGAACCACTGATGTATT